GGAATGCCAGGACATAAGGCATCAAAATAAAACTGGGTGGCCAGTGGTGCAGTGGTAGAGTGTGACGCTGTGTGAGGCAGTCCCACGATTTAGGTCCAAGACCACTCTGAGCCTGTGGAGCACCACATGCCCATGATCTGGGGCTCGGGGTTGATTAGTGTCAACACTCTGAGGCAGCTGTCTCTCCATCTCTCATGGATGAATAAGTAAACTTTATTTACTTATTTATGAGAGTTTTGGTATAGGGCCCATGTGCTCGCTGGAGACAGAGACAGAGAGTAAGAAATCACCCCCTCAGGGGGAATGGCCATAATGCAATTCCTTCTTCTTCAGTCTCCTCTCAGGATCTTGGGCACACATGCATGGGTGCCCGGAGTGAGTTTTAAGCCACCAGGCCCAGGACTTCAACCGTGGTCGACTCCATGGGATTCCAGTGACATAACCATTAAGCCATCTGTTGGTCCTGAATTAAGTAGACTTAAAAACAAAAGAAAATCACAGTGACGAAATTCATCCCTGGCATGTGTGGGGATACTTGAGTGCTAGACCTATCAGACCAACCTGAGGACAGGCAAAAGATGGCAGAATAGAACTTTATGCCCGGATAGAATGAAGCTGTAAAGCCTCACGAGTACCATGAGACTGGGTCTCAAATCCCCACGAGCTTCACTGTCGTGCTATTTAAGAAGCCCAGGTCAGGGAAGCAACCATCAAAACTGAAAAGGGTGGTCTCTGTACACAGACCCTGGAAATGAGCCATGGGTCACGCTTCACAGCCAGACCCCTGGGGGCAACTGCACACATGGCCGACCCCTCCTGTCACCGACGGCAGTGCCCAGTGAAGACCCTTCCATGACATGGACTGTCAGAACTGCCATCACTATCCTTGCTTTCTCATCTTCCTAGAGTTTGAGGAAACCGAGAGCCACCTCCCAGCCCGGCAGGGAGGGACACGCAGCTAGCACCCCTGAGCAGCAGCCAGCCCGTTTATGCACTGTGCTGCTCAAAATTCGAAGTGTAGGAAATGGCTGGTAAGGGGGACAGACATGAGGACTCTACGGCAGCATGAAGTGCGTGTTTAATTTTGTCAGGATTGCCAAACTGTCTTAAAGGCATCCTAGTAAAGCTGACATAGACAATTTCAACAAAAATAAAAACACAAACTGTGGGGCCAGCCGTTGGTGTAGTGGTTAAGGTACTGGCTCCCACATGGCCACTTGCATGGTTCAAGTTCCAGACCCAGAAGGTGAACAACACCCTGGTGTGTGTGCATGCATGCCCAAGATCCTGAGGAGAATGGAGAAGGTATTGTGGTGTGGCCATCCCCACTGTGGGGTGCTTTCCTACTTCCTCTCTCCCTCGTCCTTTCTCTGGTGAGTGCACACATCCTGTAACAAAACTAAAAACACAAAATGTGTAATACTCTGGCACTCGTACATCATCCTGTGACTCCCGGGAGGCAGCCTGCACAGGGAAGGACTCTGGAGGACATCTTTGCTCCCAGGAGCGCTGCAGTGAAAAGCTGCATTCTGGTCCCTAATTAGGTATGTAATCTGGGTCAAGCTTCACTTGCTCACTTTTCCTTTCGTTTTCCAAAATGTCTAAAGTTTCCCATGGCTCAAAGATTGTTGCAAATAACTCTAACAGCAGTGACAGCAACCACTGAGTACCTACTGGGTCATAGGCATGGTGCTGTGTTTACAGAAACTAGTTCATTTACTCTCAACCCAAGAGGGGCCTTACCATTTCCATTGTTCAGATGATAAAAATGAGGTTCCATAGGACCAGCAGATGGTGTAATGGCTATGTCGTTAGACTCCCATGTAATCAACTGCGGTTTGAGTCCCAGACCCGGTGGCTTAAACTCACACTGGGCGCATGTGCATGCATGACCAAGATCCCGAGAGGAAAATGGAGAAGGGATTGTGGTGTGGTCATGCCCCCAGGAGGTGATTTCTCGCTTTCTGTCTCTCTCTCTGTCTTTCTGGCGAGCACATGCACCCTATAGCAAAAACCTCTCCAAAGGAAAAATAAAAAAGAGGTTTACAGCCTGTGCCATTCAACCCCAACATTAGCACACCCCAAATCACAACTGAACACAGGATGCTACTTGGCTGGGCTGGCAAGTGCAGGGAGAAACTACCCAGGGGCTCATCTGGGCATCCAGAGGCTCAGACAGGGTCTTTCTCTAGCATTCGTTCCATGTCCCAGTCTTGCTTTTACTGTAAGATGAGGTATTAACAATGCTGGTTAAAGAGATGATTTTTAGCAGAAGCACCAGCTTTTCAGGGACTCGGGACCACTTCTGAATGCACTTCAACCCTGGCAGAGCACCACAACAGTCATCAGCTAAAGCATGGACTCTGCTCCAACACGCTTCCTGCTGTGCCTACTACACCTGGGCACAGGCCACGACTCGACACTAACACTAATAAACCGGTCTTTGAAGAGAGATTAGTCCACAGTGTGGCCGGGCTTAACTATTACAGAGAAGCCTCCTCTAAAAGCGTGACTTCCGGCTAAGTTATGAGTATGTACAAAAGACTGTTGTCACCATTCCTGGACTAAACACAACTCACATATACATTTTAACAACGTGTAAAACAAATGGACCAAGAAAATCCCCAAATATCTCATCGAATGTGTATAAAACTGCTGTGCTTTAATGAACACTGTCTAGCCTGATCAAAGGAAGAATTACTTTTTGATGTCACTGCAATACATTAAAAAATTCTTTCCAGGGCCAGCAGGAGGTGCTGGATTCCCACACGACTTACCACAGTTTGAGTCCTTAATCAGGTGGCTTGCTTTCCCACTTTCCCTCTGTCTCTCTGGAAAGCAAACATGCCCCATAGCAAACTTAAAATAAGTAAGTTTAAGAATTAAAAAATTTCGGGACCAGCAGTTAGTGTAATGGCTTTGTCGCTGGACTCCCACGTAGTCAACCGCAGTTCACGTCCCGGACCCGGTGGCTTAAACTTACACTGGGTGCGTGTGTGTGCATGCCCAAGATCCCGTGAGGAGAATGGAGGAGAAGGGATTGCGGTGTGGCCATCCCCCCCGGGGGGTGATTTCTCGCTTTCTGTCTCTCTGTCTCTGTCTGGCGAGTGCATGCACCCTATAGTGAAAACCTCTCAAAAAAAATAAATAAATAAATAAAAATAAAAATAAAAATTTTCCACACAAAAGTATCTTTTTTTTTTGGGGGGACCAAAAATATATTTTTTTCCTTAACTTAAAAATACAGCTTCTGAAAGCAAAAATTTGAATTGTTATCATTTGTTACACATTTTATAAACAGCAGTGAAAAGAAATTAACAGAAGGAATTCAATTTTTAGATATAGTCATAGTCATTTTAAAAGCTTGACTTTGTCCTTTAATAACTTAAAAGTGGGGTTCTTGCCGATTTTCTTGTTAAAGATGACCAGAAGTTCCTCTTCCGGTCTGTGGTGTTCATTCGTCACTGCATAGTACTGAGCTAAAACCTTCACAAAGAGAAACGAATGTCAAACGGGTGTGTATGTCCTGGAAATGTACCTTACAGCGTTCTTTAATGCAGAACTGGGCCAAGAGGAAAGAATAAAGAAGCCCAGGAGCTGGTGGCACAGGTGCGCTCTGCTCGCGGCTCCCCTGTAGCTGCCCAGAGGGGCAGGCAGCTGCGTGTCCTACACAGTACGACTAAAACAAGGCATGCTTGCTCGGGAACGAGCATGTGAGAAAGGTCTCTAGAACAGTTTATTTCCAAGCATAATAAAAATGAAGTAAACGGAGCTTTCCTCACAGTCATACAGGGAAGTCTAAAACCTGGTACTCCCCTGGCTGAGGTTGTGATGGGGTTTGGCCCCATTCCCTCTTCACACCCTGAGGGTTACTGGAGGGGCTTAAAAATCAATGAGACACCCCCACACGCGCTCACTCATTCTCTCTCTCAAGAATATTTTAGGCTGAAGAAACAAATTGTATATTGTAAAGTAAATTTGTCGCAGCTGATATATACCTGGCTTGTTCATGCACACCATACCTTTTTCCTTAGCTTTTTGATGGCAATTTCATTGTCTGGGGCCTGCTTCAGAACTGCTTTAATTGTTCCCTTCCAGTTGAATTTACCTACAACACAGATAATGAAACGTAAGACGTTTTGCTTACTTGTACTACCCAACGGGTAAAGAAATGATCTCTGAAACATCTGTTTGCTTCTCAGGAAATGAACGAATCCTCCAAAGGAAGGACACAGTACCATGGGGCAGTGCCTTCATCTGTCCCCCACAGTGGCCTATAGACACCACCACCCTTCAACGAACTCACTGTTAGAGTGAGCACATTAAATGTGTATCGTAAGTACCAACATCACTTCAGATTCCTGCAACAACAGAAAGCTGAATTTACAGGGCTCAGCAAGCACTTACTAAGCACCACAGAGGTCAAGGGGCTTCCTTCCAACACAGCAAGGAAGACTAAAGTGAGTAAAGCAGCCTGCCCTAGAAGGAGAGTGAGGCAGTCACAGATGGCGCCTATATGGGGAATATGCACTCATTTAGGGAGCCTCAGTTCTGAGGTCAAGTACATTCACTCCCCCTATTCTCCTGCTAAGCACAAGCATAAGAACCCTGAAGCTACATATCCAACAGAACCTAGTAAGACTCTGAAAGAGGAGACCGGTTGGGAACTCAGGGCCCTCAGAGTGATAGACCAGTGAGCCCTTTTTACTTCCTATGTCCCAGATTTAGAGCTTTAGGAGCCAGCAACCTGGAATGCCAATAAGCACAGACAAAAAAAGGCCCCCACAGATGCGGCCTGGGGGTCTCTCTCTCTCTCCCCCTGAAGAAATAAACTTTAAACAAACAAACAAACAAATAAACAAAAACAAAAAACAAAAAACTTGGAAAAAGAAATCTCCAGGATCTCA